CCATGGGGGCATTTCAGGGGGCGGTGGCTCAATTTCATTTGGTCGTCCTCCCCGGTCCGGGACTCTTCCCATCAGCACCTGTGTGAAGAAACGTTTTCTTTCACTTTATAATATTTTAAAACTTAAATTCTCATAAAGAAGTCAGAGGATATTGAAGTTATTATTTCTAATAAAGAAACAGAAGCCAACTATTTAAGGACATGAAAGCATCATGCATGGTAGTTTAATTAATATGGAAAATGAAAGTGTGGTGTATGATCAAGTCTTCATAATATAATACCATTTTTAAACAATCTAGGGGAGTATTTCTGAAAGTAAGGACTTGTTAATTTCTCTTATTTCAATGCAACAGATTTCTGTCACAAAAGTAGTAATTCAGAGCACCAAGAAATTTTTTCACTGAATGATTTTCAATATATATAACATATTATTGTTGTTGTCAGCTCAAACCCATAATGACCCTGTATAGGATTTCTGAGGAGCAGCTGGTGGGTTTGAACAGTTGACCTTGCAGTTCAAACTAACCTTGCAGTCCAGCACAGTATCCTACAGTGCCACATTAATCCATTTATATAACAGCTCTGTACTGCTCTTGGTTTTACTGGATTGGATCACTGATTACATTCTATTTCAACAAAGCATGACATAATATATAAAATGTGCCAGACTGCAAAGCCGTTTGAACTGCAAGGTCGGCAGTTCAAGCTCACCAGCTGCTCCTCAGAAACTCTATACAGGGTCGCTATGGGTTGGAACTAACTCAACGGCACTTAACAACAACTATATACATATAGCTTCTGACTTCATTACTTGTGGATGTAATGAAGACACAAGGTATCACTGCAAGGAAATAAATGTTCAAACAAGAATTCTCAATGAATTATTCTTATCATAAAAGAAACAAGCTCACAAACTTTTGACCAATGATAATCATAGTTACTATACTATTATAAAGAAAATACCGAGGTGACACAATTCCTTCAGCCTGCTATACATACTCTGAAGGTCCCTATGTGTGAAGAAAGGCTACCTGAGATACCTGTGAGCACAGGGAAGACAAGCAACAGTGAGGATAGTGATACCCAGCCAGCACAGCCCAGGGGAAGTCACCAGCTTCCTGCTACAACTGTTTCAGGAAAGACAGCAAGACAATTAACTGCCTCAACCAAAATGACCTAAGAATCACCTAGGTTCTAATTCCACTGCCCGCTAGTCAATACTAAGATTTAGCAATTTATGCCATAAATGAAAGACAAAGTGTGATCTTCACCGTGGGAAGTTTCTAAGTACGCAAACATCAATAATACCAAACATGATACATTCTAGGTAAATATATGTGAACATTGCTCCAAGAATTGATCACAGGATCAAGATTATCTTTAAAGAATTAAGACTATAAATTAGATGCCTGGAAAAGAGATGGGAAATGTCACTTGAAGTAGAAAACACTCTTGAGCCAACAAGGCTAGATTATAACTGGATGTAAGTAATACATTTAAAGAAAGATCACTCTCTTTTAAAAGATGATGGGAGTGATCCAAAATGCAAGTACAGAAAAATGTCACGGAGGCAAACCCTGATGTGGCCTAAATGTAGCAACACTTAACAAGTTCACTTTAAAATACAGCCATCCCACAGCAAGGAAGCTTTAATAAAAACAAGTGTATTTCAAGCTAGCCATATGGACTAAGAAGGTTTTAAAGTTACATAAAATCCTTAATTCAAATGTTTTACTTACTCACCTACCAACTGTAACCAGATTTGCCATGAGATATTTTGCTTACGTAAATGGAGAGTACACACTATAATCAAACTGACAGAAGTGGTTTATTACTGCTGCTTAATAAAACTCCTTGAGCTTGTTAAACTTAGGACCACACTCAAAGAAATGGATCTAGAATCTTATTAATTAGGGAAAAGAAGCTCAAAGAAGCTAAATAACTTGTCCAAAGTCGTTCCTCTGAGTAAATGCTAGAAACAGGATGCAAACTCAGATGTGTAACTCCAAAGCATGCACTCTTTCCATTAGCGCGAAGGATATAACAAAGCTATGTCTGTCAGTACCCAAAGCAATTCCTACAAACAGATTTACATTGACAAAAAGAAATTACTTCTTTCTTGGAAAAAAGGCAAGTAATTCTTGCTAAAGCTATTCATAAAGGCAATTCTTTTTAAACCAAACAATCAAATTCCTCTACTTAAGATAAAACTCTGATTTAATAGATAGTTAACAGAAACAAAATACACGCAAATATACACAAAACAAATCTACACCTAAACAAATTAAAGTTCTCCCTTCCTCCTCTTTTCTAGGAGTGCACCAGTTTTTTAAAAAATGAATTAACATGTGAGAAAACCTCTAACAAGAGTATTATGAACTCATTCTCCATTGTGCTTAACAAAAACCCACCTTATTAATGGCGCATGCTGTCTTCTCCCGGCTGGTGCCACTACTTGTCCGAATGATCTTGGATAGATCTTCACGAGCAGCAAGTAAATGCGCCAACGTAACAGTGGTCTTGGGTGACAAAGCATAACGCTTAGGCTGGTAAATTCTTGCTATGTCATCTGTTTTTACCTAAATGACAAAAGTTAGAAGAAAAAGAAACCAAAGTAAATTTAACAAAGTAGCAATGGCAATGATACCTTCAGAAAGAAGATAATGAGATCATGTACAAGAACAGAAATGGATAAAAGCAAAAGTCTTCAAATACCTGATCATTGTTTTGCAGAATAATAGTAAACATAATAGTAGTAATTCACTAAAAATATAATACAAAAAATTTCATTCATATCAACAAAATGTACCTAAAAATAGCTTTACCAAAAATGTATAGGTCTTTTAGGAAGAAAACATTAACAAAATGGCAAAACAAAAGGAAAACTTAAGTAAGTGGTAAGAAGTATCAAGTTTGATAAGGCAAAAAAAATTGAGGCTTAGAAAACTTAAGCTACTTTCCCAAAACTAGAATTCTGGCTCTGCCTACTGACCAATAAAGGTCCATCTGACCCCAGGAATTGCTGTATATAAAATAGCATACAACCAACTTCGGTCTAATTCATTGGAACTAGGGAGGAAAAAAAATAATCAATGAAACATAATAGACTACTGAGATTCAAATTTTCACAAATATATGAACATAATATATGATAAAGGAGGAATCAAAGATCAGCAGGAAAGTAAAGGATTCTTTTTTAAACAGTGCTGGAACAAGCTGTTAGCGCTTTGTAAAAACAGTATTAGTAATATAAGGCACATTATAACAAAGAGAATTCCAAATAGAATCAAGAATTCATTGTTGAGGTTATAAGATTAAAATTTAACTACATACTAAGGATTACAACAAAAGATAAAAACACAAAATCAAAAGAAAACTGGGAAAAACACTCTCAACAAATAAGACAACTAGTTAACTTCCTTAATATATAAAAAACTCAATCAAAAGAAAAACAGGAAGACTCCAAAGGAGGGGGGGGGATGACAAGAATTTCAAAAAGAGGAAATTCAATGACTAACAAGCCTGTAAAAAAGTGTTTAGCTCTACTAATAGTAGATACATAAAAATTAAAACAAGTTAGATTTGTTAAACCATCACTTAGCAATAAAATGGACAACAATCTAAATATTAAAGAAGGTAAAGTAAGATAAAACAATCTACCGTAAGAATATTCTTTGAGAGTCACACAAAAATATTATGTACAGAAACATCACCACTGTTAAATACAAAGAAAAATGTATAAAATAACATAGCTAAGTAAAGTATGTTGTTCCTGTTAAGTGTCATTGAGTCCGTTCCAATAAATGGCTGTAAATCTTTGCAGAAGCAGAAAACCTCATCTTTCTCCTGAAAAAAAGCAGTTGATGGTCTCAAACCAAAGAGCTTGGGGTTAGTTAGCACTCCAGTACTTACCCTACAGAGCCATTTTGCTCACAACGGAAAGTATAACATATGATAAAATACAGTGTCACCATAGAAAAGATACTAAAAGTAATAAAATACTGATACGTGCATTAACATAGATGAACTTTGGAAACATCATGGTAAGTGAAAGAAGCTAAACATACAAAAGGCCTGTAGAATCTCATCAGAGGAAACATTTAGAAAAGGTCAACCAAGGAGAAGAAATCAGATTAGTGGCTGTCAGAGGAAGGAGAGAAGTGGGAATGGCTGCTGATGGACTCTGTTTAGGGTGATGGAAATGTTCCAGAATTCGATCGTTGTAATGGTTGCACAACATAGTGAATATACTAAACCCTCAGAATTATATAGTTTAAAATGGTAAATTTTATGTTGTGAATTGTATTCAATAAAATAAAAATAATAATTGACCTTGCAGATATCTCTCTCTCTCTCTCTCTCTATATATATATATATATATATGTATATATACATATATATACATTTACACACACATATATCATATATTATATAAACACTATATAAATTTATATTTATACATATATATCATTTATTATATAAATACTATATAAGTTTATATTTACATAAATATATATAGATACAAGGTCACTATGAGTAGGAACTAACTCAATGGCACTTAACAACAACCAAAACATTATATATATATATATGTAAAGAGGTAGACGTACAACGAGATGGATTGGCACAGTGGCAGCAGCAATGGGCTCAAGACTAACAGAAAACTGTGAGGACAGAGCAGGAGTCCCCTAGTGTGGTACAGCAGGATAATGCACTGGACTGCAAGGTTGGTTTGAACCTCAAAGGCTGTGGTTCAAACCCACCGGCCACCTCTCATAAACCCTATGAATTGGAATTGACTTGACAACCCTTAACAACAATAACACTATATCTATCAAAACTCACCCATCTGGATTTCTCTAAAGTAAAGCAATGAACAAATCTCTGAGTTGAGTGTATTAACAAACTTAATGCCACTTTTCTTATATAATTTTCTTGTATTTCTACATTCCTCTTTTGATCTAAAATCCTGTCAAGTTAAAACAGTGATCCAAAATGCAGATAGCCCTTCATTAAGTTCCCAAGGCTCCTGGTGGTACAATAGCTAAGCACTCAGCTGCTAACCAAAATGTCAGTGGTTCGAACGCACCAGTGGCTCCATCAGAATAAAAAACCTGGCGATCAATTCACATACAGAAGATAGCTTAGGAAATCCTAAGAAACCATTCGACCCCATCGTCTAAAGTCATTATGAGTAAGAACTGACGCAGTGGCACACAGCAAAAACAACAGCATATTTATCAGGTTGATAACACGGGTCTCTCCCTGTATCTTAACTCTATGACCACAAAGATAGGAGAGACAAAAATAAAACCAACGCAGACGACAATTCTGTCATCCTGAACTTCCAAAGTTAGAGATGGATGGAGTGCTTTCTGAAAGAAGAGGGTGAACAAGGACAGCCAGAGAGGGAGACTGAATGGTGAACGGGATCCCCCAGTGAGATGGACTCGCAAAGTGGCAGCATTGATGGACTCAAGATGGCAACAAGAGTGAGGTTCGCCCAGGACCGGGCAGTGTTTCACTCTGCTGTGCATAGGTCACTAGGAGTCGGTACCTAATCAATGGCACCTAATAACAAGATTTTGTATGTATTGCATTTACCAAGTTTTGTTGTTGTTAAGTGCCGTCAAGTCGGTCCCAACTCACAGTGACCCTGAACAGGGTTTCCAAGGAGCGCTGGTAGGTTTGAACCGCTGACCTTATGGTTGGCAGTCCAGTGCTTATCCTACAGTTACACCAGATTTGGGTAAATGTAAAATATGACAGCAAAATAATCTCATTTTCTGACTTTAAGTACTCAGAAAAAAATCACCTCCTATGCACCCTTTAAAATCCTCACAACTGGACCAATAAATAACATCATGATAAACAGAGAAAACAATCATGTTGTCCAAGACTTCATTTTGCTAGGATCCAGTATCAACATTCATGGAAGCTGCAGTCAAAAAATCAAGTAACATTAAACAAATCTATTGTACAAAACCTCTTTAAAGTGTTCAAAAGCAAAGACATCAGTTTGAGGACTAAGGTGTGCCCATGCCAAGGTAGTTCCCATTGCCTCATATACATCTGAAAGTTGGACAATAAATAAGGCAGAGTGTAGAATTGATGCTTTTAAGTAATGGTGTTGAAGAAGAATACTGAAAGTACCAAGGATAAACAAATTTGCATTGGAGGAAGTATAGTCAGATGTTCCTTAGAGGCCAGGATGAACTTTGTCACTCATGCTTTAGACATGCTATCAGGAGGGACCAGTATAGGAGAAGGACAACATACATGGTAAAGTGGAGGGTCAGTGAAAAAGAGGAAGACCCCCAAGGAGATGAATTGGTACAGTAGCTGCAGCAATGGGCTCAAACATAACAACTGTGAGGATGGCACAGTGTTTCCTTCTGCTGTTCATAAGGTTGCTAAGAGTGGGAACTAACTCAATGGCACCAAACAACAACAACAACAAGCACCCTTTATTAAGAAGTTACTGGAAGATCTACGAGTAGAATGAGAGAATAAACAATGAAGGTGGGAACTAGGAGATCCAAGAAACAGTGAGCAGCAAGGAACAGCTAAGCAAACAGCCCAGATTTCAGTAAGAGCTTCTGGCAGGGAATATAAATGAAAATGAAGAATTCACTGGAATATCTGATTTTATGACAGAGAAACATAATGCCTGAAAAATAAATTTTAATTTAAAGAAAATAAGGTATGTGGTAAACTGAATAATGGCCTCCCAAAGATGTCCACATTTTAATCCCAGACCTGTTATCTTTCCCCCTAGCATGTTCCCCTTGAATATCTGAAAGGAACCACCCCTGCCAACACCTTTTTTTTTTAGGACTTCTGACTTCTAGCAATTCTAAGAGGATAAACTCCTATTATTCAAATCATTAAATCTGGCAATTTGTTTTAGCAGTGACAGGAAACAAACATAAGACACCACAAAGAGCCAGGAACCATATGAGCGCCCAGAGGAAAACCGAAGCATCCCAGTAGGTGGTCAGCACCAAGGACCTACACATTTGAGACAGCATCTTAGATGTTCTAGCCCAGCCAAACCCAGCTACCTGGTGAATGAATGATCCCCAGCTGATACAACATAGGCCATAAGAACTGCCCAGTCCATCCAATAATAATAATAATACTTTAACTTCTACTTGCAGTCAAGAAAGAACTAAACCATTGGACAAAGCATGTGAACCAGTGACTGCCAGACACAGGGCAATAGGGAGCATAGGACAATGATTTATGAGAGATGGAAGCAAATGAGATGATCCCCGTTTACTATCGAGAGTTTCCAAGCTGTGCTGTAGAGATGGGGATTCAGAGGAAACCTGAGAACAGGTTAAAGGCATAAACTGAACAACTGGAGACAGCTCTCTAGAAAACCATCTGAAGAGATGCTTATTTGGGAATGTCCCAGGCCTCATCCACCACTTTATCTGGAATACACTACACCCTTACCCAGCCCTAAGGAACTTTTAAGAAGGCCTATTCAAGCAGCAGTACCACCTGCCTTAACCTATTCCTATACTTTACCTACCTTTATCTATTCCTATACTCTAGTATTTTGATCAGTTGCTCACGATATCTGATTTTAAAATAAATGTGAAAGATTTGGAAAGAAATTAATACTAAGGTATTTGTAAGCAGGAATTTTATTTATATAAGACGAGGACCATTATATGAGATCAATAGCTGACTTGGGATATTAATAAACTGGAAATGTGACAATTACATAACAGTGTATAAAAGAGCCTAAAGAGTTGTCACCTGCTACCATCTACAGGACCCAAATGGAAAACCATCTTACCTTCGCTCTATCAGACCACCCAAAGGACTGCACTGTCACATCCAAACGCTTCAATAACATTCGCCTGCGGCATTCATATTCACAAGACAGTGCATCATTGATTCTTTCCAGCTGTTCCTAAAGAATTTAGAAACAAAAATCATCACATTTGGATTTTTATTATGTAAAGAAAATAAATTTTAAAATTATGGGAAATGCTTGACTAATTCATGAAAATTTTCTGACTCCATGAGAATTTTGATAAATAAATGAAATAATTAAGAGTATATGGATAAACATAGTTCGGGTGTTGGGGAGGGCAATACATAAGAAGGAGGATGGAAAAACAAGGTATATACGGAACACTGAGGCAGGTTTGTTGTTGTTGTTGTTATGTGCCATGGAGTTGGTTCCGACTCATAGTGACCCTGCACAGGGTTTCCGAGGCTGTAAATCTTTACAGGGGCAGAAAGCCTCATTTTTCTCCTGCAGAACAGCTGGTAGTTTCGAACTGCTGACCTTGCAGTTAGCAGCCCAATTCGTAACCACTACGCATGCATGGGCTAAATGGGACAGAAGTAAATAGTGATGCGTGCTCAACCTTGGAACAGGACTCTGATACAAAGATCGAGGCATAGCCTGAAGAGGGAAAATAACGTTAAGATGCTTGACTGGCTTATGAATATTGGTTTCCCTTGCCTACTACTGTAAAATAGACACTTGAGTAGGATAGAAAGGAATATCAGGAAACATGATTACAGAAAGCTTGTAAGTCTATCTTCAGGCTATAACTGATTGGAATACCTAAAAGGAGAACTTGCCCAATGAAACAGGCTTCTTGCAGAGTTTTTATAGTGTATAGGACTTTAGGTGGAATCTTGAGCCCCATCCAGAACCTTCTGAAGTGAGACATTCCCACTTGAAAGGACATGCAGATCAGCATGGAGCAGTAAGAGGAACAGAAGATACTTCTTGAAAGAAAGTCAAGCAGGAGAAAACAAACAAACAAACAAAAAAAACCAGTAGGGCAGTCTGATTGGCTACTATAAGAACAAGCAAGTTGTTCACCAGGGAGTCATCAAGGCAAGCAATCAAGTGCTTCAGGACAAACTCCCCTCCAAGACTGAAACTCAAAGCGAACACTTGAGGAAGCATGTAAGCTTGCTGATGACCATGTTGGTCTACAGGTGAGTGGAAGCGGGAAAAAGGCAGCAATGAAAATATGGGCTGAGTATGATCACGTTCCATAGACTCCCGTCAACCTGGAGAAAAGAGAAAAGAGGAAGGGCTGATTGGTCCTAAGTGTGGTGAGACGTGGAGACTCCTAAACCCATGGACAAGGACCTAACCACAGAGGTCTAGAGATGAGACTGAAACATCTAGCTGATATGAAGCAGAGACACATAAGAATGCCCAAACTTGCAGATAGTGCCTATCTGACCTAGCTTTCATGGCTTGATGATCAGAACTCGACTAGAGGAAGATAAAACAATTCTGATAAAAGAAACAAGTGCAAATTGCTAAAATTTGACTTATACTTATGGATGTAGTAGCTCAAAATACCAACTAAGAGGGAAAGAGTCTTTACATCAAGAATCAAACCTATCCCCTCTGTACACAGAGTTCATAGGGATGGGCAACTTAGACTACCTAAAACGGGAAGCTATAAAGGCACCAAGTGGCTGGCTTACAAATTTGCAAGAGGGAGTTTAGTTTCAGAGTGTGCGAAGGAAGGTAGAATCCTCACTGACTAGGTTTTCATCTTGTCAAGACAGGTCTACTGAAAGGAGATGGGGATAAGATTCTTATGATTAAACAGTGAGTAATTATTATCATGACTAATTGCGATTGTCCCAACTGTAAAGGTAAATGTTTTGTAACATAAAGTGGGGAATAGTTAGTCTTCCATTCCAGGAACAAAGGACCCTAGGGCCATCAAGGGAGAAGAGCACGGGCGGAATGTCGGACCCTATCCAGAGAAGCAGCGACACCAGAGATGGAGGCAGAAATGATAACATGGAGAGACAGAGCAGCTAAGGACTCTAGACTCATGGAAAGAGAAAGGCTGTGTGTGTGCTGACAGCCAGGAGGTAGGCTTACAGAATGTGCTGTTGGGGCATTAAAGGATTATATATTCCTGAGTGTTTTTATGTACATCCAAAAAAAACCTCAGAAGGTTTTGAATGATGATGCATGGAGGGGATTGTAATCATTGCAATGAAATGAAATACGGTAGGATGAGTGCAGAACTGATGTTCTCCCATGTAAACAATCCTTCAATTCATAATAAAAGCTTTGAAAAAAAGAAAAAGATAATGGGGAATAAAAAAGAAAGTGTGTATGACAGAACATTTATAATATTAAAAAGATATCTAACATATAAATTAAATGCGACCACCAGAAGTTTACCAACAAACATGTTAATATAAGGAAAACACAGTCAGGACCAATAAAAGAAAATATTTGTAACATCTCATCTTATTGGCTCTGAGCTACTACTTTTCAAATCACAACCATGATAACATATTGGTATCTATGAATAGTCTTGGCCAGGTATTTTTTAACTTAATACTCCAATTTAAGAAAAGTTAGGACCTATTACTCTAGACTATCAATCCATTTTAACTTACCAAATTAATATACAGGCCTAACATAAAATCTAGATGTCTGTTTAAAGAATTAAGTCAGGTTTAATTACATAAAACTAATGTGAAAAATATTTACCGCCTGTTCCTGATTTAAATCAATTTTCAGCAGTGGTTTTCCCACATGATTCTTCTGGACTTTTGAGAGAATATCCTTCACCTGAAAGCAAATATAAAAGAATCTTTTATGAAAATCTATAACTGTAATTTACAAGTAGATAGTCAGTGAAAAAGAGGAACATCCTCAATGAAATAAGACTGACACGGTGGCAACAACCAACTCAAACATAAGAACAAATGTGAGGAGGGCACAGGACCAGGAAGTGTTTCTGTCATTTATACAATAACTATGGGTTGAAACTGACTTGACAGTACCTAACAACTGTTGTTGTTGTTAAGTGCCGTCGAGTTGGTTCCGACCCATAGCAACCCTGTATAGCGTTTCTAAGGATTAGCTGGTGAGCTTGAACAGCTTTGCAGTTCAAACGGCTTTGCAGTCTGGAGCATTAACCCACAGGGCCAAATCAGCAACAATTTAAAACAATCTTATTCTTAAAATGTTGCTTCAAAAACTAGAGAATGTTAAAATGAATAAAAATACACCTTCACAAGCTAAAAAAATAAAACACTACAATGTAGAAAATACTTTTCAGAGAAGTACTACAAGTTGTAGACTGCCAACCTTTCCAGAAGAAAAAATGTACCTAGACAGTTACCAAACCAAAAGCCAAAACCAAGACAACTATCACAGAGCTTCTCCAGAGAGCCAGACACACAGTGACCACACAGGTCAGAGTAGGATGCTCCACAGAGCTTCTCCAGAGAGCCAGACACACAGTGACCACACAGGTCAGAGTAGGCTGCTCCACAGAGCTTCTCCAGAGAGCCAGACACACAGTGACCACACAGGTCAGAGTAGGCTGCTCCACAGAGCTTCTCCAGAGAGCCAGACACACAGTGACCACACAGGTCAGAGTAGGCTGCTCCACAGAGCTTCTCCAGAGAGCCAGACACACAGTGACCACACAGGTCAGAGTAGGCTGCTCCACAGAGCTTCTCCTGGTACAAAAAGAAAGTTTGGGGATTGAAACCCATCAGTCATTCTATGGTATAAAGATGTAGCAGGCTAGGGTGGAAATGAAAAAGGAATGTAAACAAGGTTTTTTTGTTTTGCGCTTTTTTTTTTTTTTTTGCAGGGAGTTGGAAGGTGACACAGAAAAGTTCTAAAATTAGAGTGGTTTTATAACTCTATAAATTAATTTGAGTGAATTTACTGGGTTGGGTAAATAATACCTTCAGGAAGCTGTTTTAAAAATTACTCTTTACAGCAATGATAAAATCATACAATTCTTATAGCTTATAAAAAATTAGGGATTGCGGGTCTCTGCTTTCTGCTGGCGTAGGGAATGTAGAGTGTAAGTTGCGGTGACCTGAGAATCCTGGCAGGGCAGGCATTTAGAAGTTTCTTCCCCTCTTTGATCGAGTACTGGTGGAAAAGAGTGCAGCTGAAACTGTAACTAATGGAGGCATTATGCTTCCAGAAAAATCTCAAGGAAAAGTACTGTACGCAACAGTAGTAGCTGTTGGATGCAGATCTAAAGGAAAGGGTGGAGAGATTCAACCAGATAGCATGAAAGTTGGAGATAAAGTTCTTCTTCCAGAATATGGAAGCACAAAAGTAGTTCTAGACAACAAGGATTATTTCTTATTTAAAGATGGTGACATTCCTGGGGAGTATGGAGACATCAGTCTCAATTGACATGCCATCATGTAAAGCTGAAGTTCTGAAATCTTGCATCATGTAAATAATCTTCATGCCTCTCTTTTATAATAAATTGATGATATGCAGTATCTCAAATTTAGCTTCACTGTACTAACACAAACATGTCCAAATAAAAACATGTTAAGTCAATGGTTAACTCTTCTAAGTTCAAAAAAAGAAATGATAACATATTATCTTAAACCATTTCTGTAGATTTACCAACTACTTTAAAAATTTCCAATTTTGATCATGATGTTTTATAAGCTATTAAAAGCTTTCATTGTAACTCCTCAAACTTAGTAGTCAAGAAGGATTCTGAATGCATACTATAATTTCTTACATGTAATCATGTTCAGTTCAGTTCCTAGGATTCTGACATGACATAACAGCTTTAATGAGCTTGAGAATGAATTATTATAGAGAGGGCGTTAAGAGCATAATCTCAGGATTTTGAATGCCTGGGTTCAAACCTCAGTTCTATCTCTACTTGCCTGTACAAGCTACATTAATAGCTTGTTTAACTTACTAAATATTTCTGTACATGCATTTCCTCATATCGTTGTTGTGGGTGATAACAGAATCCACTACATATGATTGATCTGATATCTAAATGAGTTACCATATACAGCCATTTAGAATAGTAAAAGATATCTATGTTTGCTGTTAGTCTTAATACAATTACTTTAGATTCACATTTGAACAGGTTCAAGTTAGAAAATGATCATTTTCTTCCCTGATGGTGGTAAAGTATCTTCTGAACACATCACATGTACAAGAAAATGTGAAATTTCTTACCTATGATAGGAACTAAATAAACTAGAAAGTCCTCTACATTAAATATTTAGCCACAAGGGCCATAGTCTTATAGCCTGATAACAACTACCTTATAATGGGCCTAACAGCATTCAAAAGCAGGCATTATTCCATGCTTCAAGTAGGGAAAAGAGGGGCCTATGGATATTGTTAATACTCACCAAAAACAAGACAATGGAAAAGTCTATGAGAAATAAATACATAGATGCACTGGCAGAGTAAGAACAGTCTAGAAATCTACTTCAATTTGGAATAGTTCCAGACATTTTAACCAACCCTGATCATTATTAATACAAAAGAAAAGAGAAAAAAGTTCTAAACAAAACTTTCAAGCTAGGATTCACATTTATTTTCCAGTTGGCAAGTTCCACGATTTGTTAATATTGTATTTTCAT